GGCCCCTGGGCGGGGGGGGGGGGGCCCGATCCCCCCCACCCCAACCCCACCCCACCAATTAACGTGATTTTGCGATCGCGGCCCAGTAAATGGCCCAGAATTCCTAGCGACGGACCTGCTTATAACTATATCTTAGCTTTAACTAACTCAAGTGTTTTGTCGTTGTTGTTGTTTTGCTTTCATTTAAAATCTTACTGGTTGGCGAGTCTTCTGTCATCTCTTGTGATCTCTTTTTTTTCTGGAGATAATGCCATGGCTTGATTTAAAATTCGAGAAAAAATCAAGAAAAAATTCTTGATTTAAGATTAATTTAAAATCTTACTTGTTGGTGACTCTTCTGTCAGCTGTTGTGGTCTCTTCTTTATGAAGATAATGACATGCCTGCAGAAATCTTGACTGGATATTGTGAAGAAGGGATTTCACATTTTCCACTTACACGACTGTTGTTGCTTGCGTCACATCGAGCTGCAACATCTGGAGGCTGTAGCACTGGATGCTACATCTGGAGGCTGTAGCACTGTAACACAAAGGGAATGTTGTAAATCATTTGTCCTTTGTGTCAGTATGTTTTAAATAAACCAAGGCATCAGTTTACTGTTGGAGATTTGTTACTTGCATCATGCCACAATCATTATAGACAGAATCACTGTTTATAACCACTGTCTTTTGTAGTGGTGCTCGTGTCTGTTGTAGACACAGTTACCTGAAGTCCTTGTGTCCTTGCACTTCTTAACTGACTCTGTGTGAATCTGTGCGGCCAGGAATTCTAAATTCCATGTTGTCATAATGGTTGAAGGCTGATTGGTTGTGAGTGTCTGTAAGAATGATTAATTTTAATGGCAGTGTTTATATGTGGGATATTATGCTCTTGGCTCCTGGTTTTCATACAAATAAAATTAGTGCTGCTCTTCTCAAGAACCTTCAGAATTATGGCTTATTGAAAGACATACTGTACTGTACACTTTACACAGTTCTTCTATTACAACATTGTTTTACAGTGGGTTATTTCTTGTGTAAAAGTATTGTTATAACATTTTAAAAATGTATTTTCAAATCAAGAAAAATTAAGTTTAGCATCTTCACTCTCTAAATTTTTGAGCTCAGTCTAAAAAATATAATCCTGAAGCACAGATATACGTTGTACTGTCAGAATGTTTTAATAGAACCACAATGTATGGAAAATAAGTCTAAGACTCAGTGAACAATCAAAGCTTTAATGTCTGGAGCAAGATAAAGTTGCTCTCTACAGAATCAAAAAGTTGAGTGATACTCTTTAGGATGTCAACATTTTCAAATAAAAAGGAAGTACTGATAGCTGTGTATTTTGTGTTCTGCTCTGGGGCAACTATAGAACAAAGACAGTTGAGCAGTGGACATCCACTTGTATTTAGGGACACACTCCTCTCAGTCTTCATGGGTCTTTGGGTCAGAAAATTGCAGTTGACCAGCTGTACCACATTACTAATAATTAAATAAATGAAAACTGTTATTTTTATTGCCTGAACTGTTTCTTAGTCCTGATTTTGAGAAAAGAAGAACACAAATATTTTCCAATAAATTGGGCACAAGACCAGCAATAGATTTAGATTTCATGTTGACTTTGTATTTTAAATATATCTTGCTAGCTGAGAGCAAACTAAATATTATTGTAAGATCTTATTAAAAAGATTTTGTGTTATCAGTCTTTATGCAGAAAACAGGTGAAAATATAAGTAAATGGTAACAAAAATTCACTACACTTCAAAAGTTTGTGGTCTGTAAGATTGATTAATGCATTTGAAAGTTTATTCAAATTGATTTAAATTGTAAAAAAGTTAATCAGTAGAATTATGAATGAAATATAATTACAGTTGAAAATAATTGAAAAAAAAAAAACCTTTTTATAATATAACAGATTTTAAAATGTAATTAATTTCTGTGACGGCAAAGCTGAATTTTCACTCCGGTCGACAGCATGGGCACTCTTTGGTGCCCCTGGAGACTGACATCTAGAGTGTCCACGTCAAGTAGGAAAACATTTTACAAATTCAAGTTCTAATTTTTTACTGTGTACTCTGATAAATTGTATAACTTGTATATCTGTTCTAAGATCTGAATGTGCATGCTGCAAAATATAACAAATATATGAACTGTTAAAGCTATAATAACCATTTATTTCGAGATAAGATGTAAATGTTAACACAATATATCTAACCATGAAACTAACCATATTTACTAAACATTCTAAATTGATAGTTTGCATGTTCACTGATATCAGACCATGGCTAAAAAGACATTTGTCTTACCAGAAGATGTTTGTGTGGTTCCCCCCATACGTGGTCCCCCTGGGCAATTGCTTAATTGCTCATATGGTTAATCCGTATGATGGTTAAACTCTTGAGGAAAGTTCAACACAATTACTGAAAATATTTTGCTCACCTGTGATGAAATGATCTTAGGGTGGTTTGCTGGTCTTAGCAGGTTTAAGCTGGTTTAGCTGGTCGACTAGCTGAAAAGTGCACCCAAACCCCTTCAAAAACCATGAAAACAGACCAGCCTACCCAGCCTAAAACCTTAAACTGGTTTAAGCCAGTGTTTTCGGAAGATAGTTTTATAAAGTGTTCTTGTAAAGCTATATTGATTTCCAGTAAAAAGTCCATCTAGAGAATCAAAGATGGAAGGTAATGGAGATTTACATTTCTAGACATGATTTCTTTGAAAATAAATTTTGACAGGTTATCCTTCGTGTTCATATTGGCACGTCACAGCTTTGTCGCAGTAGTGTGTTTGTTGTCATCTACAAGTTGAGGAAAATTGGTACATTGGTAATCTTTTGGCATCTGCCGAGAACATAAATGTAAATATAAGTTATGATATTTCAAAAACAAATGAGGCTGAACAATATAGCACAAGATTGATTTAGTTCTGCACCGTTATAACCTGGCAATGAGTATGTAGTGTCAATGAAAGTTGTGAACGTAAATAGCACAACATATAGTTTGATGAAGTAGTGCTCCCCCTTCTCTACATTAAATGTCTCGTTACCTTTCCCTCTACAATAGGCCTGATTCATTTTGCACTACAGTATGTCGTTCTGAGTTCAAAGAGCCCCTGTGGGATGTGGCGCTGTAAAATGGAACCGTCACTGCTTTCTTGAGGTTTAGTGAAAGCACATCTGTACACGGTGGCATGAGAACATGAAGACAGATGACTTTGAGATGTTTTCTTGCTGCACACTCCCTCCTGTGAAAGCTGCTGCCAGCATGTGTGCCTGCTGTTAGCATAATGCTAATGAAGGGGTTAAGGCTGTTTGCATGCTGTACTGGAGGGTAGATCTGATGTCTTTCTCAGCAGGAGATGTTTTTTGACCAAAACGAGTCAGAGTGAAGGGATGAGTGTCCCCTGCCATCTGATCAGGACTTTGAATTGGATCTTGATGTTATATTTGTAGTTTGTGGAATTGTGTAACTAGATTTCATGAAAAAATGTAGAATTACATCAATCAATAATTGGCAAAAACCTTTCTTATGTACCAGGGTTGTGCAAAATTCTAAACTGTAGAATTTCAATTCACACTGAATTAATGAGTGTGATTTGAATTGGAATTTGAAGTTGAATTGGAATGACAGAATTTTAGCTCAGAAATCCAACATGGGAAACACCTTCTGGAAAATCCATCCTGGTCCACAAAAGGTAATTATAAAATATGAAGCAATATATAAACTGAATACCAATTTCTATAGGTGGCATTTCAAATCTATATATTTGTAAAGTCTTTCAATTTTGATTTTTAAAACTACTAATACAACTATGTAAGAGGTTTTGCTATTCTAGTTGAAATATTAGTCAAAGTTAACAAGTTCGTTTGCCCATATAATCTTTAGGAAATTATATTTAACTTATTTGGCTTTCTGTCACTGATGAGGGGCTCGATTTAGCAGCTTCAACTTGAGCTCTGATATACCCCCACAGAGACTTAATGTAGGATATGATTGCAAAGGGCAAGGTACCTAAGATGAAGGTGGAGATTGGGGAGGTGGAGGGATGCTGGAACAGCTGAGACTGGAGAGAAGTAAGCAGCTGCTTATATACTCTGGCTGTTGATTGAAAGAATAGATGGGCTCGCTCCTCCCTAACTTCCCTAAATTTGAATTCAATTTTGCACCTAGTTTGCTAAAAGGAGCTGAATTGAAATGTAAAAGTATCAACAAAAATGTCAAATGGCGCACAACCGGTCATGCACGTTTTTATTTAAATTGTTTTATTTAAATGTTGCTTTATGTATTAAGACACTAGGGTGAGATGTAAACGCATCTTTCTTTTTTTTATTATTTGTAAACAAATATAAAAGCACATTAAAATGCAAAAGCCACTTGTAAATTACATGGGACATTTTCTCTTTGAATAAAGTCACCAGCATCTCTCTGCATTTTAAAGGCTCAAATATACCGGACACGCCACTCAGCTAAGACACAATGTGCATTGTGAGAACAGCAGATCAGTGTTTTAGAGAAATAACACTGCCGTATCACTGACTTGAAAGCAATAGCTAAGTTCCACCCAAATGGCAATATTGACCTCCTATGCACGCAAGACACATATCGGACCTGTTTATTTCAGCTTCATTTCTATTGAACATGTAAGTCAAGCAAATCACAGGTGAACCAAATTTTGAGAAGAAAAAAAGCACTGTGCTGATAGCCCAGGCAGAACGGCAAACGTTTGATAGAACAGTCCATTTCAACATCGGCAAATACTGAAGAACAACAGAGAGGAAATCAGACGCATCCTATTAAGAACACTGTAGAGATAGGCGGGGAAAGGACCTGGCAAATCAAACGTTCAGTTTGCCCACAGAGGCTGGTAGGTCAGTACATTGATTGACATTTAGCTGAATAACAGCAGGGACAGTTTCTCTGGCTGTTCTGTAAACACACTGATTTATAAGGCGCAAAGCTCAAGAGTCCCAAATTGAAGAGCTCAGAAGATGTAATTATTCTGGAACCAATGTACTGTGCTTTGTGTGGAAAGTGTGGAATGAGTCATTGAAAAAATGGATTAACCTAATTTTTTTTTTTCCAATTTCGGAATTGTGAATTTGTCGTTTCCTTGGACATAGAAAATAATTAACCGTATTGTTCGTCCGTAATAAAGCTATTTGACTGGTTTCGAACATAAAAGATTCATCGCTAAGACTTGTCAGCCATGCTGAACGTGACATCAGTGGTGGAAGCTATTAGTTGAAAAACCCTGTCAGAACACGTGAGACAAGAAAGTGTGTTTAAGTGCAGATTTCAAATGGAAAAACCAGACCCACAAGTACACAAAACCACCATCACAGAACAACAACACTTGAGGGATACAGCTGGCTCTGAGGTGGAGGAGGTGTGGTGGTTGTGTGTCGGCGTTTGTGTGTGTGTGCGCGCGCGTGTGAGGTAATCATCACATGTCTCCTAGCCTGAAATCTGGCTAGCAGCTCAGGCAATGCGGTAGTCGAACGTGTCTTTTTCCATGTAGTCTGTCCATGTGGAACTCGGCATGCTGCTGTATGGATCCAAAAGGATTCGGAAGCAGCGCACGATCAGCAGCCCCAGAAAGATGAAGAGGAGGAGGACAAAGACGAAGGCAGCCTTCTGTTCCAGTGTGAGGAAAGGGATGGGGTGGGGGGCCCCAGACGCAGACAGCGTGCTGCCATGGAGATGCTCGGCCATTCTCTCCAGTTTGTCGGCACGGGTCAGGGGCACGCGGCCATTTTCACGATCAACAGGTTTTTGTTTAGAGCCATTCTGGAAACACACAGAAATGTAGAAAATACATTTTAACCCGAAATATCATCAATATCACATTAGTTCCCAAGCAAAATCTGTCACATGTGTTCAATTTGAACACTAAACAACATTTTTGAGGATTCACCACAGCAACTTCACAGCCAGTGTGGCGCAGGCCTCACGTTTAAAGGCATATACCACAATGTTAAATAAGATTACTGTGTACATGTTTTACATTAAATCCAGCTCACATTACTGATGCACATCAGTGAAATGATTCATCTAGCTGAGGACAGTGAGTAGCCTTGAGTGAATTATCTCTCTCATCTTAAGGTGAACAAATCCATTTCCGACCATTTCCAATGCCCCCGGTTTCTTTCTCTCAAAGCACCAGTTTCTGTGGTAGTTGCTGACCCTTTAATGGTTCAGTTCTTTGATGCCAGTGCTCACGATCAGCCCTGGCACTCCCTGTAAAGCCTGGCTCAATTTCCACAAATGCGAAGATTTCTCTTGAACAACATGAAGTCGCACGCATGAGATGCCAATGTGTTGCTCAAAATCCAACCACACGAGTATTGGGTACCTGGGGTTTGGATTACAGAAACAAGGAGCACGACACTAACACATCTCCATTTGTGGTTTTATTTATCGAATTTCCGTGTAAATATCCAACTGAGCCCTCCTAAAATCGTCTAAAATGCATTGTCACCGCTCTGACAGTTGAACCGGTGATGTCTGTGAACATACACAGGGCTGTGAATGTGATGAAAGCATTAGTTTCTCACCTGTTGTTACTGAAGAGGATTCATCATTGGGAGGGTGATGTAGACCGAAAATAAGCAGGGAGAGAGACAGCTGCCATCACGGCTGTCCGCACAGAGACAGATGGTTATCACAACTTTTTCAACCCAGCTCGTCGATTTGTTCAGCAATCAAAATAAAATCGGCAGCTCTCCGCTTCCATTCCTCTCCTCTGTGGTCCAACTCCCTCTTTCCCTCACATGTAGTGGTGTCACATCACCCATAGCAACCAGTTGCCATAGCAATGCCTCCAAGTGTGTTCAGTAAAGCTGAGCTGGTGAGAGACAAGTGTGATCCAGCCAAAGCGCAGTGTAAATGTGTGTTTCTGTGAAGGCAGAGGATTTAATACAGACCCACTGATGTGTGATAATAACAGTGGCTAAAAATAGTGGCTGCTTTTAACTTTGCAGGATTAACACATTTTAATATGGTGTCTACTACAAGCTGCTCACGAATGTCAGCCAATCAGCTTAAATGGAGAATTGTCATGCTTTCAGACATGCTGCTGTCATCTGATATGTCTGAGACAGCATGGTGTATGCATCCAGTCTCAATATCTTCAGCGCTGTCATTGCAAACACAGTCTGTACATGCAGTTCTAGAAATGTAGGTGTATGTGCTGGATATATTTAAACATTACTGATAAATCAGCTGACTGACTGATTTATATATTTCTTGTGTGATTGATGGCCGTGAAGAAATAACTTTGATAATATTCAGGCCTGAATGGTGCAGGGAGGATTATATATATACACATACATATATATATATACACATACATATATATATTAAGCAGCACAGCTCTTTCCAACACTGATAATAAACCAGCATATTCTAATGATTTCTGAATGATCATGTGACACTGAAGACCAGGAGCGGACTTAGTGATCTGGGGGCCACAGGAAAAATATAGGAATGGGGCCCTATACAT